CACATCTATAGTTACTAAGATTAATGCTACTGCTACAGAATTTTCACAATATAGAAATAGAATAGAAGAAAATATAATAGAAGGCGAAAACGATAACACGCCCTTCAGAGTTTATTTAAGTAGAATCCCCTTTTCTGGAGACCAATTCCTAGTCTTCATTAAATAAATGCCAAAGGTTTTTAGAAAATTAAACATTATTAGACAATTTAATGAGTTTGGAGATTGTTTCATTGCATCACCTTTTGTAAAGCCAAATGCAATTTCAAATCACATCAAAATATTATAAATATGATAATAAGAAGCTAAATTTCCAAGCTATCTTCCTGGAATAGGGATTGATTTTGTCATTGTAAGGTAATCTGCATAAGCCATGAAAACCTCCAATTGGGCAGTAAATCACACTTTAAAAAATACCTTCAACCATGTAAGATGTAGCAAATTGATTTGAAATAGTATTGGATGAATATCCAGGTTAATACATCAGCTCCTTACTGAATAGTTGGAAATGAATTTCTAAAGTAGGAGAGTAATTTGTTATTTCTCAGGAGGAAAACCACCCCTAACAGCTTTCTGGAAACCTTCAGATTAGGGGTTTCAAAATTTCTCTTTAATATTATATACACATGTGTATACACACAACACACATATACACACACATATATATTTACACAAATAAGAATATATATATGTTCTTATTTGTCCATCTTTGGTTTGATTGCCTTCAGCTTCTGACTCTAACTTACACAAACAATCCTGCACTCCCTATGGGTGCTGATGCTGTATCTGACACTGGTACCCACTTGCTCAGACAGTCAGTGGCTCAATTTTGATGTGGGGAACCAGAAAATTGAATAGCACTTGAAAAAGTGATTAAGACTTACCTGATAAAGGCACTGAATGACGTGGTAGAGGAGGAAAAAAACAGGGGAAAAAGTGTTCTAATTTTTATATTTTTAGCAATTTCTGTTAATGATAGATAGGTAAAGACCTGAAATACAGTTGTGAAATTCAGATTGAAAGTTTTATGAATCTTTATTAGTTATCTTCACCTGAAAGAGCAACCTATTCACCCCAAATAAGGAAGGGAATTTTGAAGATCTTCACTGAATGCTGAAGGTTTTATTTTACATAATGAATGACATATTTTTTTCAATTTTATTTTTTTCATTTTATTTTAAGCTCTGTGATACATATGCAAGACGTGCAGATTTGTTACACAGGTTAACATGTGCCATGGTGATTTGCTGCACCTGTCAATGCATCACCTAGGTATTAAGCCCCTTATGCATTAGCTATTTATTCTGATGCTATCAGTCCCCCACTCTCCCCGACAGGCCTCTGTGTGTGGACATATTTATTTTTAAGATAACCGTCTGATATAGCCAGTTTGTCTTTGGTTAAAATGATTTATAGATCATGCATATACTGACAATATGGATACATTTTATGGAAATTTAGGAATAAATTTCAAGTGTTACGTAAGCTGTGTTTGCAGTCTTTTAAATTATTGTTAACTTTTGGAGAGTTTTCTTTTTTTTTTTTTTGAGACAGAGTTTCGCTCTCGTTACCCAGGCTGGAGTGCAATGGCGCGATCTCAGCTCACTGCAACCTCTGCCTCCTGGATTCAGGCAATTCTCCTGCCTCAGCCTCCTGAGTAACTGGGATTACAGGCGAGCGCCACCATGCCTAGCTAATTTTTGTATTTTTAGTAGAGACGGGGTTTCACCATGTTGACCAGGATGGTCTCGATCTCTTGACCTCGTGATCCACCTGCCTCGGCCTCCCAAAGTGCTGGGATTACAGGTGTGAGCCACCGTGCCCGGCCCTGGAGAGTTTTCTAAGAATGCATGTGATACCCATTGCTTTGATAGCAGATACAACACCTACAAAGGCTAACCTTTGTAATCTATACATTTATCAAAAGTATGAACAGTAATCTAAAGTGTGTGTATTTTTTAAAAAAATGTACAGTGTGTTTATAAATTTAAATTGCTACTCATTATCCTCTGTTTTAGATATATCTATTAAGACATCATTAATATGACAGCCATAGTGTGATCATACTACAGAACAATGAAATTATAGCAATTTACTCTTCCACTTGCCTCAATTTTGGGATTAATAAATACTGCAAAAAAAGAACAACAATTTAGGTAATTGCTTCAGGTGATATAACTAAGTATGTTTGATCCAGTTAAAAAGCCAAACAAAAAAACAACTGAAAACTAGTGCTTGGCATTTTCTAATAATATTTTAGACTTCCAAAATTGGGGTAAGAAGAAGAGGTGATAGAGAAAGAAGAAAAGGTTTTCCTGAAAACAGAGCTTGGACCTACAGCTAAGACAACTATATCCTTCTAGTCTCAGTTTTGGAAAAGAAACTTCAGTTCTTTAGTACTCTCTTTTTTCTCCTCATCTGTAAAGTAAGGGTTTGTAAAAGGACCACTGATAGCCAATCTTCTGTTTTCTGGACCTGGAAAGTGAGGTCACAGGGATGTTGCAGGGTGCTATTTTGCACCTACATGAATAATTGTTGATTTCATTTCATGTGTTACAGAGTAAAATGCTTCTGCCTCCTTGTTGAGTTATAGTATTTCCTTGAAGCAAGTTTTAGTTTTCTTTCACAAACTGGATAGCCCTATTAACTATTAGTCCCTCTACAAATCAAGCAGTGTATTTCAAACTTTTAAATTTTTCTGAGGGCAGAAGAAATTCTTGGCAAATTCTTGGCAACTGGAAACTTTCAGAATCAAGGCTGCCTGTTGAGTTTGACAAACCTCTTTTATCCTTTAAAGAGGTTTGTCAAAACCAATTCCCTTCCACACTATGAGCCCGATAGTTTTAGGACACTGAAAAGTTAGTTTGAAATTTTCTAAAAAATAAGTAGTATTTCTAGGACTCAATTTTGATTTCGTTTCAAATGTAGACTTATTTTTATTAACATGGCACTGCTGTGCTTCCAGAAGGAATAATAATCTTATAAATTTATTTAGGCCAACGGTAAATTAGGAAATCTCCTGAGAGAGTTTTAGTAAAGTTCAAATGGATAAAATGGGCTTTGTGTTTTCCAAATATTGACCTTCTCACCATATCCTATCATATCATTGGACCTCTTAAAAAAAACCAGAAAATTATCTCATAACCCTTTTCTAATCCCTCCTCCCTCATAAGCAAAGTAAGCTGGAATTTAATCATCATGCAGAGTTCAAGGATGGAAAACTTTTTATGGACAGACGTGATGGATTGATGGAGTGATTCATTAATTCCATTTCACTGCAGATTAACTTAGCTCACTAATCAATGTAGATAACATTTGCAGTGGCACTGAGATATGTTTATCTCAGTGAAGTAAATTTTGAATTAGATTTATTTTGTCTAACAGTAAATAGTAACAACTTCAATTCTTTGGAAATCTAGTGTAAAGCTACCAGCCTGGTCTAACTAAAATGTATCAAGCAGTAAAACATTAATGTAAGAATGATCCTCAGAAAAGAGAAACTATTGTCAATTGGATTGTAGAGTTTTACGGGCTAAATTTTGGAAAGAATATTTGTCATAGTTTCTAGGAGGGTAAAAAATATTTTGCCAAATGTCTACTGCTCATCCTTGTGATCCGTATATATGATTTCTTTTAATCTTTGAAACCACTATTTATAGACATCGATGTTCTGATGTACCTGGTACAAGTGAGGCATGAATATTAGCTGATTAATACCCTGTGTTCTTTATTTGTACAATACCACCTCCTTCCTATTGTGACGTCTCAGGCAACCTTCACCTTTTCATATGGTGCTACTGTATCTCTCAAATCAGCAGGTGTCTCTGATCATATTCAGAATTGAAGTAATTCTGGAAAATCTTCCTAATTTTGTTTATATAATTTTTTAGGAAATATTTTGTTAAAACAGACATGGTTGTGGCTAGAACATACTGTTACATACATTTTTAAGAGAGAAAAATGAACACTACATAGAAATTTTGCTGGAGGAAGTATATTTCACATCCTGTCCCTAATTTACCAAGAATTTTTTTGTGCTCAGAAAAATTTAGAACAATTTGAAATACATTGCTTGACTTGTAGAGGGACTAATAGTTGATAGGGCTAAGCAACTTGTAAATGAAAAATAAAACTCAGTTCAAGGAAATACTGTATTCAACTCAACAAGGAGGCACAAACATTTTACTTTGTAACACATGAAATGAAATCAACAAATATTCATCTAGGTACATTTTCCTCTTTTATTATACTGTGTGATTGAAATCTCTTCCTAAAAACAAATGTTCTCTGGCACTCACTGCAAATGAGTGGTTACTGACTAAATAAAACTAAAATCAAATATATTTATGAATTATAATTTATACTTTACTTTCAAAAGTTTTAAGTGCTAATAAACCACTGAACTTTTCAAAATATCAAATATTTTACCAAAAATTATTACAAAGTCATTGTTTGAGAGTCTCTGAGAAGCAGAAATAATCCCTTATGTAAATTAAGGTGATTAGAACGTTATTCAAAGATGCATCTGCATCTGGCTGACTAACTTGATGATGCTGTGGAATGCTACATCTAGCCAGGTCTAACTGTGTGATCTTCTGGTAAGCATGGAAAAAATGTAGCTTCATGAAACCTGTCACTGGTAATTTCTGATGCGTCTTGTTCACTATGGAGACTAAGAATTTGTTGGCCAGGTAATGTGGCTCTTACCTGTAATCCTAGCACTTCAGGAGGCCTATACAGGAGGATCGCTTAAGCTAGGAGTTCGAGACCAGCCTGGCCAATATGTTGAAAACCCATCTCTACTAATGATACAAACAATTAGCCAGATGTGATAGTACATGCCTGTAGTCCCAGCTACACAGGAGGCTGAGGCATGAGAATTGCTTCAATCTGAGAGGCAGAGGTTGCAGTGAGCCAAGATTGTGCCACTGCATTCCAGCCTGGGCAACAGATCAAGTCTCTGTCTAAAAAAAAAAAAAATCTGTATTTAAAGAGATATCTTAGTGCTCACTTTGACAGTACATATACTAAAACTAGAGCAATACAGAGGAGATTAGCATGGTCCCTGGGCCAGGATGACATGCAAATACATGAAGCAATAGAAAAATAAAAAATCCCAGATGATTCTGTTAAAGGTAGTTTGAGAAGCAGGCTTTGAAAATAAAGGAAAATATTTTCTGCTTAAATTATGACTGGCAATATTCCTGTGATACATTTTATTGAAATCATCTTTAGAAGGGGACTTTGGAATTAGCCTAGATGCCATTTGCATTATTTACTTGGTTCTCTGTTCATTTCTAAAGAAACCTGGCACATTTTGGATTAAATGTCATGAATTCTAATTCTGCTTCTCCAAATTATTCTATTATGGACAATTTACATGAAGATTTCACAGCTTACTTTCTTAGACAGTACAAATAAGCATTTGAATATTCATCTGTAGGACCCTCTGACCAATTTTCATCATCTTTCTTTTATTATTATAAAAGAGAGAGGAAATACACACACACATACACACACACACACACACACACACACACACACACACACACACACATATACACACATGTATATTTGTATTGAAGAGAATTGAAGAAATTATTTTAATTAAAACTTGACTGATGGCCCAATTACTACTTGAGATATAAAAAGATGCCAGGCATGATATCAGCCACAAATGAAATTAAAATTGTAGAGAGTTAGAGTTATTTTCATACATCACTTAGCCTATCTGTTCACATAGGAGTCTTGAATAATTTCTCATTATATGGGCAATATTAACATTGCTATCAAAATAATTTTCATTTGAAATATGTAGAAGAGATATTTATAAATTTATTTATTTACAAAATAAATTTAAATTAAAAATGAACTTTATAATGGAAAATGATAATCAGGTACTTGAGCAGAGTGGGCAAACCTTAGTAAATATTTCAAGCTTCACAGGCTATATAAGTTTTCTTTGCTACCTCCTCTTCCTCCTCCTCCTCCTCTTTCTCTTCCCTCTCCCCCTCTTCCTCTTCTTTTAAAAATATGGTTAGCTCAGAGCCTTATAAAAACTGGTTTGAGGCCGAGTGAGGTGGCTCGTGCCTGTAATCCTAGCACTTTGGGAGGCCCAGGCTGGTGGATCACCTGAGGTCTGGAGTTTGAGACCAGCCTGACCAACATGGAGAAAGCCTGTCTCTACTAAAAATACAAAATTAGCTGGGCATGGTAGTGCATGCTTGTAGTCCCAGCTACTTGGAAGGCTGAGGCAGCAGAATCTCTTGAACCCAGGAGGCAGAGGTTACAGTGAGCAGATTTGGTGCCATTGCATTGCAGCTTGGGCAACAGAACAATACTCCATCTCAAGAAAAAGAAAAACAACACAACTGGTTTGAGCAGTGCTTATCAAATGGTATTGTGCATAGAAATATCTGATGAAGAGTGGGGAATCTTATTAAATTGAAGATTCAGATTTCAGATATGTGAGTTTGGGCCTAAGATCCTCTATTTCTAATACACCTTTGGATGACGCTTTTGTTGCTAGCTGAGCGGCTCACTCTTTAGATAACAAAGCTGTTGAGGTTGAGCTGTTTCATGGCACTTCATGTGATGAGCAACCCCCACCTTTGGATGACGCTTTTGTTGCTAGCTGAGCGGCTCACTCTTTAGATAGCAAAGCTGTTGAGGTTGAGCTGTTTCATGGCACTTCATGTGATGAGCAACCCCTACTCCCCCTTTGTGTTCTATTCTGAATCCCCGGTCAGTTTTGCTGACAACTCAGCTTTATTTTCTGACCAACTAATGCAGTTGTTTTGTCCAATCATACAGAATGCCCAGTAATTTAGTGCTCCTTGGCAATCTTAAAGGCCCAACCTCTTTGGGAATATGATGAAAGCTACACTGCCCCCCACCACTGCAACCTCCCCTTTACACAATAATACTTATTTTCACACACAATTTTAAAGAATCCAAAGACTTATGTAAGGCTCACGCATTGGGTCTGTCTTAAAATAACTGCTATTGTTATCTAATGTCTGAATTTAGGAAAGCTCAGAATTATGGAGATTAACCCATATTTTTAATATCAGCCTAAAACTTAGATTTTAGCAGTATTTCTGTATATCTATCTTTCTAATCTTTCTTTCTCCCTTTCTGTCTAATCTATCTATCTATCTGGCTGGTGAGACCTTTAAAGTGTATTTTATGTCCTAATTATCTATTGCAAACCTGATGATTTCATTAGAGCCTAAAATTATAAATGAAGAAAATCATGTTAACTATTGTTAGGAGCAAGCACAAATTGTTATACACCTTTTATTAAGCTTGTTCATGGTGTTCTTTTATCCATCAATTTTTCAAAAATTTGCTTGAGATACAATTCATATACCACAAAACTCACCTGGAGTATACAATATAATAATCTTTATTACATTCAAAGAGTAATAAAATCATCACCATAATGAATTTCAGAATATATTGGTCACCCTTAAAGAAATCCCATCCCTATGGGAAGCACTTTCCCAGACCCCCTCCATTCCCCACTTCCATAGCTCAGCCCTAGGCAAGTTTTAATCTACATTTTATGTCCATTGATTTTCCTACTCTGGACATTTCACATAAATGGAATTGTATAATATATGATCCATTGCAACTAGCCTCTTTCACTGATATTTTCCATGTTCATCTGTGTTGTAGCATGCCTTATTCATACTTCATTTTTAAGGCTGAATAATATTTCATTGTATAGATATAGCACATTTTACTTATCCGTTTATCATGGACATTTATCCTGTTGATTCTCTCTTTTTATCAGTTCAGTTGGTAGACATTTGAGTTGTTTCTACTTTCTTGGCCATTGCAAATAATACTGCTATGAATATTCATGAGTAAATTTTGTGTGGTTGTATGATTTCATTTTGGGGTGATAAATATCGAGGAGTGAAATTGCTGGGTCATGTGGTAACTACGTCTGACATTTTGAGGACCTTCCAGATTGTTTTCCAAAGTGACTGTACAATTTAAATTCACACCAGCAATGGATGAGGCTTTCAGTTTTTTCACACCTTTGGCAATACTTGTTATTTTACATTGTTTTGATTATATACATCCTAGTGAGTATGAAGTGTATTTCATTGTAGTTTTGATTTGTATTTCTCTAACAGCTAATGATGTGGTGTATCTCTTTATGTGGTTACTATTTGTCTAACTTCTTTGTCAAATTTGTCCAGCTTCTTATTCCAGTCTTTGCCCATTATAAAATTTGATTATTTATAGTTTTATTGAGTTGTGAGTTCTTTGAATATTCTGGATATAAATCCATTATCCGGTATATGATTTGCAGATTTTTTTTTTCTGATTCAGTGCGTAGTATTCTTTCAAGCACAAATATTTAAACATTATATAACATCCAGTTTATTTATTTTTTCTTCTGTTGCTTCCGCTTTTGGTATCACATCCCATAAGGTATCACCTAACTCAAAATCATAAAACTTTGCCTCTCTAATTTTTTGTAATCATTTTATAGCTTTACTTTTTACATTTAGGTTGTAGATGTTCCTTGATGTTTTTATAAAAGTAGGAGTAAAATTACTAAAAGAGTACCCTGTTGTGACAGTACTATAATCTTTAGGTAACATAGTTTACATATATTGTAATGATAAATGAGTAAAATTCTTTCTGTGCTCATTGGACATGCTGGATTTTAAATCTTCTTGCTAAATTGCTTAGATATTTTATCACTTTTTAAAAATAAATCTATTATTTTATATTTTATTTAATAAATATCAGTGTATTTTATTCAACTCTTCTTATTCAGCCCTTCTCCAGGCCTACTGCCTAAGAAGTTAAAGACAAGTTGACATAGTAAATAACGCCCTAGTAGCATGGAAAATTTACTCGATTACTTTTAATAGTAGAACAGTTTTTGCAGTAGGGAGAATGTAGGTCACTGTGCATAGGGATATTAAAGGAGAACAAAGAGGCTATCTAAACAGATGATTGTAGCCTACTACATGCCTGTTACATGAAAAGTGGCATAAACTCTTGATGTATTTTAGGTTCAGAATCTGTGGCTGTGTTTCCAGACCTTTACATTGAGAATATGTTTCTGATTTGCAAGCTACTCATATTTAGCCAGTGCTATCTAAACACTTTGTGAACTTTCTTGATAATGAATTTTAAAAATCATCATCACTTTTATATTCTCTAAATTTCTCGTTGCTTTAAGACCCAGTATAACCTTTGTTATTGTGATGTATACTGTAATTACCTCTCTAGATGCTTTGGTTCTCTTTAGTCCTTTTTAAATTTCTGGCCTGTGAACCATAAATCACTCTTGAGTGTTGAGTATCTAACACTTGTAATGTATACATTCCTTTTTGGACTGATGTGATTAAAAAATAATAGCAACCTTTAAAAATTAGCCCACTTCAGAAAAAAATGTTTATATGACTAAATTAAATCCCCTTTAATACATTAAAATGTGTATTTTCAATTAATATTGGGAGTGAACTGAGGTAACATTGAGAAGCAAAGCTTACTGCTATCTATTAAAGAGAAATGTGCTCATAGTAAGTGACTGGTTAGAAAGTTATAAGAGCAAACTTTTAAGAAGCGCTTCTCTATATCATCATTTTGTCCCCACATACGGTGATTCCTCTGAGCAGCTCCTTTTGATTTACTTGTGGCAGCTGGTAGGACATTTTCACAAATAATGGTAATGGACACCATATAAATGAAAAATATTCAAAATAACACATTACGCAAAAATTTGATCATAAAATATCAGCAGGTCCTTCTCTTCCTATTTCTTATGCCCCGTATGGTACCACTTTTACTGCATTCGCAGGGAAGTCACTGGTACGATCTCTCTTTCTTTGTACTGTGTGGAGGGATATACCAAATTCTGTCAAGCATTTTTTTTTAATGATAATGGTGTATTTTTCCTTCTTCTTTTCTACCTAAACCATCATTTCCCAAGCTCATATTCTTTTTATTTTTCTCTTGGACTATCAAAGTAAATTACAACTGTCTTCATATCTCCATTGCTATCCCTTATTGATAAGGCAGACTAAAAGTATCTTTCAATTATACACATAGTCATGTCACTGCCTCCTTAAAATCTGTGAGCCAGGCGAAATAAAGTCATAATCCTGAGCATGGTATAAAGCCCGTTGTCTCAGGCTATAAGACTGCCTTACACCTTTTTCTGCCATGTCATCTTCCTTCCTGATTGTGAAATGTAGCATGCACGTAACTCTCATTTCTTTCTCTTTTTGCCGATGGTGTCCTTTGCATGACGCTTTTCTCTTTTAGTTGTCATATTTTCATTCTTTACAGCTCAATCTAAATGTCATTTTTTTCGGTTAAGAGATCTCTTATTATGCTTGATTTAGAGTTAACTTTTGATTTTTTTCTTTCTGCCTATGGTACATTTCTCATATACTTCTATGCAGCCACATTCCATCTTAACATAGTGATTTATACTTGAGCTCTTCAGTCAAATACACTTGAGTTCTAAATCCTGCCTCCACTGCCTGCTTTATCTACATTCCTGGGCAACTGACATCATTTCCTAAGCTTTTGACTCATCTGTTAAATGGAGATAATCTTTGTACATAATTTGCAGGTCTCTTTTTGTGTTAGTCTGATAACACATTGGCGGCACACTAAATGATATCTATGTGTGTCTTCTAGGTGTTTGCCGACGTGGCTTTCTTCCCCAGTATACAGTAAGCAATCTGAGGACAGGAAATTAGTCTTACTCATCTTAATCCCCATGCTGACCCCAGAAGAAAATCTCTTGTTCTGTTTTACTTTTGCTTGTCTTGATTCATGGAACACGTTAAACCTAACTCCTTAGAGTTAACATATTAATGTATTGATATATTGCCCCATTCCACAAAGGAGTTGGGATGACTTATGAGACACTTACACCAAATGAAACATAAGCAAAATCATATTCAGTGGAATAATCGAAGGGTTTAATTTGACCATCAGGAACCTAAGTGAAACTGAAGGTTTTGATAAGGAAATGTTAAAGCTTGTCTTTATTCTGTCATGTTTTGTAGGATCGCGTCTTCGCCAGGAAGATTTTCCCCCGCGGATTGTGGAGCACCCTTCCGATGTCATCGTCTCTAAGGGAGAGCCCACGACTCTGAACTGTAAGGCCGAGGGCCGGCCAACACCCACCATTGAGTGGTACAAAGATGGGGAGCGGGTGGAGACTGACAAGGATGATCCCCGGTCCCACAGGATGCTTCTGCCCAGCGGATCCTTATTCTTCCTGCGCATCGTGCACGGGCGCAGAAGTAAGCCTGATGAAGGAAGCTACATTTGTGTTGCAAGGAACTATCTTGGTGAAGCAGTGAGTCGAAATGCATCTCTGGAAGTGGCATGTAAGTGAATATAATGAGCCTCATAGGCACATTTACTTTTATTTATTTCAAGTAAGTTTTGATGTGTTCCCATAGATGCTAAAGCCCAAAGAATCAAACGATCAACACACTGCATAATTTTACTCGGCCTTCTTCAAAGAAGTCTGGTCGGGATAATATCAAGCCAGGGAGTTGTAGAAAATTTGTTTATATGAAATCAGGGTGGTCAATATGTTATTATAAGAAGGCAAAGCGTTAATGATGCTGTTCATACTTAAGATTTGAATTAATGAGAGACGTAGTCAAGTTTTAAAGTTGGCTATCTTAAAATGAAAAGTTTATGTGTAGCATGACCTTAAAGTTGGCTATGTTAAAATGAAAAGTTTATGTGTAGCATGACAAGGTGTACATTTAATATTGTCCCTATTTCTGTTATCAATTTAAAGGTAATTATTTATACACGCACCCCACACACATATAGATATATACATTTACTTTGAAATCTAACTTTTATCAGCAACATTAGAAAGAACATACTCTCTTATTCTGTAGGTTATCCCTACTCTTCTATTTCCAGGCTCCATTCAGGAATTATGAGGTATGGCAAGGAGAATACGCCAACAATAACGGCAATTATACTTTTTAATTTACTTATTCATTTATGATAAAGCTTATCAGAGAAGAGACCTGCTGTCTGTGGGAACAGAATATTCATATATAGGAGGGTTTCTCACTTCTACTCAAACTTGGTAATCAGAAATAGCTAAGGACATGCCTTACTATTGGTGTTTTTATATATTTATTTTTTTTCATAAGATAGTGCAAATAACAGTGGTAAATCAAGATATCAGTGTTTTCCATCAGTTTGAACATTGACTCCATAACTTCATGGATCCTTTTCTAGAACAAAATTAAAAATAGGATAGTTATTTTTCTCATTTGTAACTGAAGGTTTGGGGTTGTAATATAAATAATACAATGCAAGTTTGATATTAAGTTATCTGTTTTGAGGAAAGATTTTATCTAGACTAAATTGTGCATAAGATGCCAACAATTATGCCTTAAAATGTTTGTACTCTTCAGCTTTCTTGTTGTCATGTACATCTTCAAAGATAAGAGAGTTGGGAAATTTCAAGATGCTAGAGTCTTAGGTATATAGCTGCATATATTTTCTCCTAAATAATAGCTCATGGGCTTATGTCTTTCTTTTGGTAAATAAAAAGATACTATTTCTTATGCAACTATCCCAGCGAAGGCTTTTGTTCTTAGGTGTCTGCATCTGAGTTATAGTTTCTGCTAAGAAATCTGGAATCTACTGATGCTGGAAATGCATAATTCCAACAGGAAAAGACTAGGAGAATCCTAAGACTCATATTTTTTTATTTTATGTGAAGTACCTTGAGATATGAGCATTTGGACTTTAGTTAACAATGGCATTTTATACTGGCCACCAAATAGTTTAATTTGTATAAAATGATACTTCAAAAAGCCCTTAAATTAAATGCAATTTAATGCAATTTGAAATATACACACAAAAATTCAAGAATGCAAATATCCATACCTGTTCCATTTCTATTTGGAAACATCCTATTTTGGAAACTTATCAAACATGTTGAAATACTTCAATCCCAAATTTTATTGATTTTTTTCCCCAACAGATCTTTCTATAGTAAATATGACTGCCATTATTCTCCCATTTTCTAGATAAAGAAAATGATGCTCATAAAGTTTAGGTGACCAAGATGCAGACAATAAATTAATGAGGGATCCTAGACCAGATCCTGAATCTTCTAATTTTTATTTTTAGGGAATTGTTCCATATTTGAAGAAACACTCTGAATGAAATCTGGTCTGTTTTAAATACGTGAAAATTAAGAATTTTGAGTTTTTCATAATGTTTAAAAATTTTATCTAAGCAGCAAATAACTCCTTTAAATTTTTAATACAATTTTAAATTTCAAAATTAAAGTCTATAAAAATTGGCCAATCATTTTATTGTTTGGCAGTTATACATTTACTTTTTATCCTAAGCCTTTGCTTTGTTAAAATTGGTCCCAGCACACATATCTTTATTTTTATTTCATCTAAAAAATTGGTTTCTTTTCTAATTGTGTCAATAATAGTGAATCAAACTGTTTTAGGAAGAATATTTTAAACCATGATTTGTGTGTGTGTAATGTGACAGTAATATTTTTTTATTTTGAAATACATGAGCTTTAAGAAATGCTTGAATTACTCATGACCTAGAGAGGAAAACAAGAAGGCTTGCAAATTGGATTAGGTAGTGAATAAAATTCTTTCTTCTAATGCCATGTCAAGAGTTTATTCCATTTGAAGCATCACAAGGTCAAATAGTATTCATTTATATATTGCTCATCTCTTTCCATTAGCTTATCAGTCTTCTTTCTTTCCTTATGTATTTCATAAAATGTGTTAATATGGAAATTTGGGTCAAAGTGTTGTGATTTTTCAGTACCTATTGGTAAATAGTGTGCATTTTTATAAAATGATAAAGGAACAGCTCTAGAGGAACAACTTCAGATTATGTTAAACTGATCTTCGTATTTTAGAAAACTCAACATAGGTACTCATTTGGGTACATTCACTTAATCTATTAATAGAAGGTGGATAGCCACTGAAAGAAGTGTTAAATATAGAAGAAGACACATTCCAATCCATTCTCCAAGAGCTCACATTCTAGTTGTGATGACAAACATGTAAATAAATAGTTACTATAATAAACTAAATAGATAATATAGCTTATTATAAAGACATGTAAAAATACTATGCAAATCTGGAGGGAAGATATCTAATTCTTCCTAGATAGGTAAATTTTAGATATGATTCTAAGAGGATACATTCTGCTAAAAAAAAGCTGCAAACAATCTAAATGCTTACCATTATCATTGGCTAAATATATTGTGCAATCTATATAATAGAATACTCTCTCTCTCTTTCTCTCTCTCTCTATATATATATAGAGAGAGAGAGAAAGAGAGAGAGAGTATTCTATTATATAGATTGCACAATATATTTAGCCAATGATAATGGTAAGCATTTAGATTGTTTGCAGTTTATATATCTATAGGCATATAGATATGTAAACTATATATAGATAGATCTATAGATATCTATCTATATATAGATAGATCTATAGATATNATAGATTGCACAATATATTTAGCCAATGATAATGGTAAGCATTTAGATTGTTTGCAGTTTATATATCTATAGGCATATAGATATGTTATCTATATATAGATAGATCTATAGATATCTATCTATATCTATACATCTATATATATATATATATATATATATAGAGAGAGAGAGAGAGAGAGAGAGAAAGAAAGAGAGAGAGGATACATTCTTTGAGCTGTGATTTAAGGTCAGGTAAGAATGTCCTGGGTAGAAATTGAAGTTGAAAGACCATCCTGGTAGAAAGAATGGAAGCTTAAATGAATGCTGTGTTATTTGGAGAACTGCCAGATGTCTGGAAATGAGGTTGGGGGCAGAGGAAATTAGAAAGGTAGGTATATGTTGAATCAAATTCTAAACTATTTTGATATGAGAAAAGAGAATCTTTGAAAGATAATTGAAGATTGCATTAAAGATATGATGATTGAAGTCAGAGAGGTGTTAGGTAATTGTCAAATAATTTAGAAAAGAGTTGATGCTAGATTCTGAACTGAAAATAGGTGTGAAGGTTGAAAGGAGGAAACAGTTTGAAACACATTTAGGAACTGTAAACTATGTTACATTATGGTCAGTTTGGGGAAGCAGAGGATGACTACTAGATTTGTTTAGTTTGTTTTGGTTTTTTGGCTGAGTGACTGGCTATATTATAGAGCTACCATTCCTAGGAGGGTAGGTACAGGAAAAATACAGCTAAAGTTTACCACACTCTTCTGTCTTCTGGGGGACAGAAGAGTGTGGTAAACTTTAGCTGTATTTTTTGGACATACCAATGAAATAGTAAGCTTAAAATAGCTCCAGTTTCATTAAAGAAACAGATTCTGAATTTGAGGGCAGAGATTTTTTCCAAGATAGGTATTGAAGCCATGGAAGTAAGTAGGAGTAGATGTGATTGCCAGGCAGGCTGTGTGCAGGGAGCAGTTAATAAGGGGTGAGTCCAATCCCATTGCTTAGAACAACAATATTTAGTGGTAGTCAAGGAAATAATTGCTCATGCAAAAGGATCAGGCTTAGTAGATGTATCAGAGTGATGGAACGTGGGTAGTGAAGTGGCAATAATAACTAAGGAATACTTTCAAGAGGACTAAAAGTGAGGCTGGGTGTCGTGGCTCAGACCTGTAATCCCAGCACTTTGGAGGCTGAGGTAGGCGGATCACTTAAGGCCAGGAGTTTAAGACCAGCCTGGCTAACATGTTGAAACCCCAACTCTATTAAAAATGCAAAATTTAGCTTGCAATCCCAGCTACTCAGGAGGCTGAGGCAGGAGAATCGCTTGAACCTGGGAGGCAGAGGTGGCAGTGAGCTGAGATTGCGCCTCGTCACATTGGGCTGGGCGACAGAATGAGACTTTGTCTCAAAACAAACAAACAAAATCCAAGAGTACTAAAAGTGGTTGTCACAATGCAAATGCCACATGCTAGTCAAATAAACAGGTTCTGTGGGCTCTAGTGATGGGGACAGGGTACAACAGCTGAAGAGTGAGTGGTGGTGGAATGGAAGTAGCAAATGTTGTTGGTTCTGTCCTAGAATGTGGCTCTGAATGGAGGGTGGAGAATTAGACCAGGGTACCTCAGCCTCTACATTACTGACATTTAGGATCAGAAATGTATTTATTATGTATGCGCGGTGGCGGGGGTGTTGTGCTCTGCATTGTAGGATGTTTAGACACACTCTGGCATATGTTCACAAGATGCCAGTGGGATCCTCCCTAAACCTGTTGAGACAACCAGCATGCCTCCAGACGTTGGAAATATTCCTCGGGAGAGAAAGTCAGTCGAGGACCACTGACCTAGATATGGCTAAGTAGTCAAGGGTGTATTGATACG